ATTGCATTCAGTTTTTATTCACAATTTGTTTAGTGTCCCAACTTTTTTGGAATCCGGTTTGTATATATAGGCGGTTTTTCAGTTATTGCGGGGCTTCAGGGTCCAGATCCCCCGTGATAAACGAGGGACTCCAATGGGTATGAACATCAGCTACTACCACACCACTGCAGCTCAATATCTGACTGAGTCAGGGCCATTTCTGTCTTGGCTAAGTTTAAATAGCTGTGACGACCTTCTTGAATTGGGGTCAAATCCAGAAGCTATTAAATTCTAGATGTACATGTAGAGATCACTTTCTGATAGTTTCATTCAAGTCCTTTCACAGGTTCACAACATATTTTGCTAACAGTACAGACAAACACACAGAGATCCAGGAAAAATGCCTTTTTGGCAGCAGGTGATGAAAGCTTAAGGCTCGGCTGCTCGTCATTGTGTAGTTTAGTAAAGAAGACAAACGAGGAGACAGGCAGATATTAAAAGTGTCACCGTTCAGGTATCTGCTGGGCCAATATGCAAACACAGGACATCAGAATCCACAAAGCAGCACGGAGCCGATGAGTCCTGCGAGGGTGAAAGGTACCAAACCCAGCACTGAGCAGAGCAGACAGACGGATCTGTGTGCACGTTAGAGATGGAGTTATGAAGTTCCTGGACAGATGAAAGACATCTGAGCAGGATTTGCTGTGAATGCTGCATTGTTTAAAAAGAGGTTTAAACGGTGTTTCAGTGTGGCATATGATACAGAGACAAAAACACTCCTCATAGTGTGACTTTAAAGTTGTGGACAAAGCCGGATGAATTTAAAGAGTCACGAGGTTTGATAATCCTCATTAATTTTGCATTTTTTCCATTGTTTCCCCTCTGGGCCTGCGCGACTTAACGTTCTGTAAAACCACTCTCACCAGCATGACAGAGCACTTCAGACTTTTTGTTTTTATGCAACATTGCATCAATTACCTGAAGCGCAGAAAATGAAACTTTTACCTGTTTGAAGGTTTGAAAAGTTTTCCACAAAGAGAAGCAGTGGCATCCAGAGCAACACGAGCCCAGAGTAAATCTGCACATAATCAGGATTAATCAGAGCAGCTGAGTCAGATGATGGAGTAAGACTCCCTGAAACCATTCCAATGCATTTCAAGAGGAAAGAAACATTTTGCACGGTCGACATGTAAACCTACACAAAGCTTATAAAACTGAGAGATGCTGAAGGAGCGCCAACCATGATTTATGTCCTGTTAATAAAAGGAAACATTCCACTCATTCTTATGAAACTCTCAGATATAAAATTTTGGATTTGCATAATCTGATTAACAATCAACAATTCAAGATGGCCACCATCACCAACTGACCTCTGGAAACAAACATGGTCAGTTTTACAGACACTGAGTGCAGTTTGGTGTGGTAGTAGCTGAGCACCATCCCCAATACACATTCTGAGCACTACGCATCGCACAACACCTTTACTCTGAACGTTAACATCCGTCTTGTTTGTCTGTTAGCAAAATATCTTCCAAACCAATGGATAGGTTTTAATAGAGCATTCAGAGTGTGACCACTGGAAGAGCATCTACAACTGATTAACCTTTAGTCACTAATTCAATATGGCTGCCACATCTAATCAACGTTAGCCAGCACAAAAATGGCTCTAACGCAGTTAATTTGACAGATGTGAGCTAAAAGTTAAACACACACTCAAAGCTAACACATCTCACTGAATCTGTTGTGTCCAAGGTCTGACCAAAACAAGTCCGTCCCTTCTCGTCATGAGATCACAAGTTGGCGGGTGACAAGCATTCATGGATGCATTCAGTAAAGTTTGTCGAGCAGATTAATATTTAACTCCCTGACTTCATACTGTGGCTCCACTCAGAGTTAGTTTGAATCTCTAAATGTTGTAACGTTTATTTACCTGCAAGTTATGATTCAACGGCATCCATTAAAAAATATTAGCATGTGTCAACGAGCAGCTTAAAAAAATTACATTTAAAACTTGTTTTGGTCTTTTGTTTTTATTCAACTTACAATTTTTATTAATTGTGTCACTTGAGCAATAAAAGCTTAAAGAAAATGTGATTTTTTTTTTTTGTACCTGCAGCTGTTACCATATTACTAAAACATTTGCTGCAACTGAAGCAGAACATGGGGCAGCACGGTGGTGCAGCTGGTAGAGCTGCTGCCTCTCAGCGAGCAGGTCCCTGGTTCAAATCCCGGTCCGGGGGCCTTTCTGGGTGGAGTTTGCATGTTCTCTCCGTGCATGCGTGGGTTTTCTCCGGGTACTCCGGTTTCATCTCACAGACCAAAAACATGCATGTTAGGCTGATTGGTAACTCTAAATTGTCTCTAGGTGTGAGTGAGAGAGTGAATGGTTGTTTGTCTCGTTTGTCTCTATGTGTCTCTGTGATGGACTGGAGACCCGTCCAGGGTGTCCCCGCCCCTCGCACATTGATTGCTGGACACGGGCACCGGCAACCCCCGTGAACCAAAATGGAAGAAGTGGGTAAAAGATAATGGATGGATGGATGGATGGATGGATGCAGCAGAACACTAGCTAAAAGTACAATTGCTGGCTAGCTAAATACTGAAAGAAGAATAATGCTAACTAAAAGCTTAAAGAAGAAAAATGCTCCTAAAGTAGCAAAATGCTAAATGTAAAAGGAGCATAATGCTAACTGAAATATAAAATAACAAAAAGGTCACTAAGTGTTGCAAAATCCTAGCTAACATCTGAAAGCTAAAAGTAGCAAAACGCTAGCTAACAAGTAAAAGAAACAAAATGTCATACTGGCTAAAAGCTACAGGATATGACTCTACCTAAAAGTAGGAAAACTCTAGCTAAAAGCTGAAAGTAGGTAAAGGCAAGCTAAAGGTAGCAAAATATCAACTAAATGCTAAAGAAAGCAGCTTAAGACAAAAATGGAACAGGTCAGCTGATGCAGATTTTAAACCAAATGTCAGTAAATGAATTAAAGAGATCTTTATGTATTTCTATGGTGAAACATTTTCTAATAAAGTAAAATATTTTGCAAAGTATACTTTGTAAAATTTACAAAAATTGAAAGTGCTAAATAAAACTACCCTGAATGATTTTTGACCTTTGAACAGTGGAAAGGGCACAAAGTTGATTCAAATCAATTCAGTTCAAAAATACTTTATTAATCCCAAACGGAAATTAAATGTTGTAGCTCATCCTCCTGGTTTCTTTCGGCATTGTTATAGATGCTGAAGGCTGTGGGCAGGAAATAACTCTTGTAGCGGTCCATCCTTCAGCGGATCTGTAGCAACTGGCTGCAGATGCAGATCCGTGTCCACCCAGACCCAGCAGACCTCTCGGTCCTCTTGGGCAGCAGGACTGTCTGAATGCCGGGCAGAACTCCTCCCGGAGCGACGTCCAGTTCTCCCAGCAGCCTGCCAAGCTCATCATTGCCGCAGACTTAATTGCAGGTGCCAGGGGACAATCTCGATCCTCCAGCTGTCAAGAGCAGGCACTCGAGCACTGCCTCCAGGTAGACAGGAATGCATCCACAGCACCTTCTTTTCAACTCATTTGGGATTTGGGCCTGAAGTTGAGGTATTTTTTGAGCTTTTGAAATGTTAATCAGCTGCTCCCAAATGTAGAAAACCACCTTGTTGTTATGGTTATGCATCATAACAAATGTCCAAATGTAAAATGGTTTCAGTAAAATCCATCATCCGGAAAAACATGATTAACATCCAGAAAAAAGAGTAATTAAAGTTTTCAAAAGCAAAATCTCAGAATGAATGTACGAGAGCTCCTGCAACATGCAGCCACCTCGAGCTGCACAATTCTAGAACTGATGTGCATCCACTAAGGTGCAGAAGAAAAGACAAAGAATAAAGAGAAACAGGATCACTCTGCATTTGCTCAGTAAACAGTTTAACATTTAACACAAGCCAAAATATTAAAAAACATGTACCAAACCTGAAATTTTATCAAACTTTAGTTTTGGTCTGAACACAAAGGACCTGCTCCTGGATCAGCTGAGCACTTGTGTGGTTTTATGGTGTTAATTCCTGTCTCTAGGTCTCAGAGCTGCTCGTGATAATCTTAACACCAGGGATGCAGGAGGTGAGTTTAAAGGTAGTTCCTGTAGTTCACTGCCTCATGACCCAGCAGGGCTTTCTGAAACGTTCAGGTGGGACCTCACACTTCTTGTGTGGTGACATGAAGTCCTGCTGCAGTAAACTGTGAGCCCTGCAGGCTGACTGAGTGCTGGTCAGTCCAAGAAGCCTGAAGATATCCTGAAGGAGGGCTGGTTCTGCAGCCGGGGGGAGGTGTCTCTGCAGCTAAACCTTCAGAGAGCTCATAAAGACACTTCTCTGCTGCCTGCAGCTCACTAAAGGGACATTTCAGCAGGAACAGGTGCATGACCATGAGGCCGTCTGCCGTGCTCTTCATGCTGTTGGCTGCAGCTTCACAAAGCGGAGCAAGTGAGTACAGAGCAGAGATGATCTTAGGGTCATGCTGCGTGGGGTAATCTTTACGTTCATCAGTGAAACCACTGATTCTAATGATTCAGCTCAAAGCTATCGCCTCTCACAGAAGAGAGGATGTGTCAGTTAAAAACTGAACATTTTCACAGCATTCTGTGTTTTTATTTGATGCAAAGATAAATGTTCTGAAGTTTAGCTGCACGTCAAATGATTTCAGAGTGCAGTTTCAAACAGCTGGTTCGTTTACGCCTGAGCAGCCTTTACATGTCCAGAGTTCAGCTCTGTTGTTCCTCAGAGGGAACATTAGACCTTACAACTAAAATAACAAAACAAACACATAAACATCAAATAAATAAGCAAACAAACAAAAGACAACAATGCTACATACATGAAAGACACCCAGCAGAGAACCAAAGGACGTTTCAAACCGTCTGTAAGTTAACCATTGAAGACGTTACACAGGTCTGATGTGAAGCTGTCATTTCTCACTTGTGCTTTAACAAGCGTGCAGCTCTAGATTAACAGATTATAGATTAAATAAACAAATGTCCACTTTGTTAGCTCTTCCTTAGCAGCTGTGGTCCAGTGTTTGTCTCTTTGATATAAATCTGAAATTTCACGAAAAACAAAAATAATGTTTTATCCACCTGCTTTCATCACAACTTTTGTTCAGGTATTGCACACATTGTTTGTTTGTTTGTTTGTTTGTTTGTTACCACAGTGCTCTGCACGGCATCATTATAGGACCACAAAAAGTAATTTGAGTCATTTCTTGCGATCTAACTAATTCTGCATCACTTCTTCTCTCTTAGCCTTTCGGATGTCAAAACGTTCGGCTCATTCAGGAGCTGGTTCTGGGACGTTTTGTCACTTTTATTGTAAAAGTTTTACAATAAAAATTCAAATTTGGATTAATAAATAATACTTCAGAAAAGTGTAGCTTCAATACTTTCAAAACATTGTTCTTTAGGAAATCTGCTTTAGCACAGCATGCTTCTTTTTCTTCTTTTTAGTTTTAACTACCGTTTTTTTCCTTTTACCTTTTACTAAGCAATTTACTAATTTTAGCTTTTAACTTAAGCTTGTTTATTTTTAGCTTCTACTTTTATTATCTTTGGCTTTTAGCTAGTGTATTACTCCTTTAAGCTCTAAGATACTTTTCTTCTTTCAGCTTCAACAACTGTTCTTTAACATTCATGAATTTGAAAAAAACACTTCTTTTAAAATAAATTAACTTAAATAATTTTTGAGTATCTTTAAGTGAGTTTAGAAGCAAATCTTCTCACAAAAATATAAACAAATGAAAGCAGAATTTCTTGAATGATCGTACCACCTGCCAGCTTGCTTATCAAAGTTTTAAACAAAGTGTGACCCGTTGGCGCTCAGAGGGTGTGTAGGGGATAACTCTCAGCTGCTACCACAGCAAACAATGTTCAGTCAGCTCATCTGGACGGTTTCTTTTTGTTGTCGAAGGGTTACCCTGGCTGGGTTACAGTCATTTTTATATTTTGCTCTGCTGTGGTGGCCATCTTGAATCAATATGACTCCAAAACTTCATCAGCTATAATTTGTGACCAATTATTCCTTTCTGAGAGTTTTATTAAAATGTACTGTCTTGTTAATGAGCTATTTTGCTAACATACATGCACATACACATAGACAGGCATTTACACACAAACATCATTCAAAGCTGGTAGCAAATTCACAAGTAGATAAAAAGAAAAGTTTTTAATTTAACAATGTCTAAACGGTTGATGATCCTTTTCGAAAGTCTGACTCAGCTTCATTTCAGTCTTGAGTCTGGACAAAGGTTCTGCCCTGTGGCCCAGTTGGTGGATAGTTATAATCCTGAAGTCTGGACCCAGCGCAGTCTCACATGACAGAGATTAGAACCAGAACCTGCAGGTCTTACAGTTCAGTTTAGTGTTGAGCAGCTTCAGCCACTGTTACAGCAATTCAGTAATACAAACTGGATTCCAAAAAAGTTGGGACACTAAACAAATTGTGAATAAAAACTGAATGCAATGATGTGGAGGTGCCAACATCTAATATTTTATTCAGAATAGAACACAAATCACAGATCAAAAGTTTAAACTGAGAGAATGTATCATTTTAAGGGAAAATCTGTTGTTTTCAAATTTCATGGCGTCAACAAATCCCCAAAAAGTTGGGACAAGTCCATTTTTCCCACTGTGTGGCATCTCCCCTTCTTCTTACAACACTCAACAGACGTCTGGGGACAGAGGAGACCAGTTTCTCCAGTTTAGAAATAGGAATGCTCTCCCATTCATGTCTAATACAGGCCTCTAACTGTTCAACCGTCTTGGGCCTTCTTTGTCGCACCTTCCTCTTTATGATGCACCAAATGTTCTCTATAGGTGAAAGATCTGGACTGCAGGCTGGCCATTTCAGTACCCGGATCCTTCTCCTACGTAGCCATGATGTGATTGCTGCAGAATGTGGTCTGGCATTATCGTGTTGAAAAATGCAGGGTCTTCCCTGAAAGAGATGACGTCTAGATGGGAGCATATGTTGTTCTAGAACCTGAACATAGTTCTCTGCATTAATGGTGCCTTTCCAGACATGCAAGCTGCCCATGCCACAAGCGCTCATGCAACCCCATACCATCAGTGATGCAGGCTTCTGAACCGAGTGTTGATAACAACTTGGGCTATCCTTGTCCTCTCTGGTCCGGATGACATGGCGTCCCAGTGTTCCATAAAGAACTTCAAATCGTGACTCATCTGACCACAGAACAGTCTTCCATTTTGCCACACTCCATTTTAAATGACCCCTGGCCCAGTGCAAACGTCTGAGCTTGTGGAGCTTGCTTAGAAATGGCTTCCTCTTTGCACTGTAGAGTTTCAGCTGGCAACGGCAGACGGCACGGTGGATTGTGTTCACTGACAATGCTTTCTGGAAGTATTCCTGAGCCCATTCTGTTATTTCCTTGACAGTGGCATTCCTGTTTGAGGTGCAGTGACGTTTAAGGGCCCTGAGATCACGAGCATCCAGTAGAGTTTTACGGTCTTGACCCTTACGCAAAGCGATTGTTCCAGATTCTCTGAATCTTTTGATGATGTTATGCACGGTTGATGATGATAACTTAAAAGTCTTTGCTATTTTACGCTGGGTAACACCATTCTGGCATTGGTGCACTATCTTTCTACGCAACAATGGTGGAATTGGTGATCCTCTTACCATCTTGGCTTCTGAGAGACACTGACACTCTGAGAAGCTCTTTTTATACCCAATCATGTTGTCAATTGACCTAATTAGTGTTAATTGGTCTTCCAGCTGTTCGTTATATGCTCAATTTCCTTTTTCCAGCCACTTATTGCTACTTGTCCCAACTTTTTTGGGATTTGTTGACATTGTGAAATTTTGAATCAACATATTTTTCCTTTAAAATGTTACATTTACTCAGATTAAACTTTTGATCTGTCATCTATGTTATATTACAAATAAAATATTGACATTTGCCATCTCCACATCATTGCATTCAGTTTTTATTCACAATTTGTTTAGTGTCCCAACTTTTTGGAATCCGGTTTGTAACTTTACCTCATGGAAGCATATGTAAAGTAAAGAGTACTGGTCCAAGCACGGAACCCTGAGGAACTCCATGACTAACTTTGGTGTATGATGAAGATTCATTATTTACATTTACAAATTGGAATCTATCAGATAAATATGATTTAAACCAATTTAGAGCTGTTCCTGTAATCCGTTTCAGAAGTTTGACTCGTTAATTTCAGGAGTATTAATGTTTCACTTTATTTTATAATATTATTGAACTATTTAACATTTACCTACAGGATTTGGACTTATACATTTCAAACCAGATTTTTACATAAACTGTAGTTCACCATTATTTTCTCCCTCATTGTACCTCTGACTAAACCTTTCCTGTTTTAATTCATTTTCATTTCACCTTTATTTAACCAGGCATAAATCCTAAGAACAGATTCTTATTCACAGAACTGGCCGGGCAGAACCAATAGACACATGTAGGGTCAAGGGAAGGGATACAGTACGATTAGACAAAACAATAAAAGTCAGAAGTCAATAACAAACAAGGAAATCACAAATTACATTAACAACAGCTCATTGTCAAAGTTAAACATTACTAAACAAGAAACATTTGCAAGTATTTTTAAAAACGGCTTTTAAATGATTTTTAAAACTAGAAACTGAGACAAGTGAGATCAGACTTAAAGTTTATACCTAAACTCAAGTTTTAGGTTAGTCAGGATTCACAAAAGTATTTCCATCCATCCATCCATCCATCCATCCATCCATCCATCCATCCATCCATCCATCCATCCATCCATCCATCCATCCATCCATCCATTGTCTTTACCTACTTCTTCCATTTTGTGTCACGGGGGTCAGTGGTGCCCATGTCCAGCAGTCACTGTGCAAGAGGCAGGGTACATCCTGGACAAGTCTCCAGTCCAGCACAGGGACACATAGAGACAAACAAGACAAACAACCATTCACTCTCTCTCTCACCCAAGGACGATTCAGAGTTACCAATCAGTCTAACATGCATGTTTTTGGTCTGTGGGAGGAAACTGGAGCACCCAGAGAAAACCCACACATGCACAGAGAGAATATGCAAACACCACCCAGAAAGTATTTCTATCTGCAAAATGAACAAACAATGCAAGGGATTTTATTACTTTATTCAAAGTCACAAGTTTACATCCACTAAGATCAATTATGCCTTTATGGTTTGGGAATGCCCAGATGTTGATGATGTGCTGGCTTTGGAAGCTTTTAAAAAGTTAATTGAAAACATTTCAGATAACTGAAGGCACACCTCAGACACACTGTTTATTTGTGTGGCATTATGGGAAAATCCAAAAAGAAAAAAAAAAGCCAAGATATCAGATATTTAAGAAAATGGGAGACATTTGGAAGCCCCATCTATGAAGGATGGGGGTGGCAGCATCATGCTAAGGGGGTGTTTTGCTGCAGGACAAACGTGTGCACTTCACAAAAACAAATGACATCACGAGGAAAGAACAGAAATACTGAAGCAGCATCTCAAGACATAAACCAGCATGTTAAAGCTTCAGTAACAAACAGGTCTTCAAATGAACAGTGACCCAAAGCATTCTGCCAAATTAATTACAAAGTGACTTGATGGGCAGCTGTGGCTGGGTGGTTAGAGCAGTCGTCCTCCAATGGGAGAGTTGGGGGTTCAATTCCACCAGCAGTCACATGTTGAAGTGTCCCTGGGCATGACACTGA